CCTAATCCCAAGGCGACAACCTATTCTGTGGGTAATCCAAAGTCATCGTATTTGAACCTCCGTGGCCACAAATGAATTTTTATTCCTCTTTAGATTTGAACCTGAGACCTCCAGACACTCTTGATCTTTGGAGCCCAAACTCAAACGGTCAAAAGTAAAATTCATATGTTTTATCTACTGGGTGTTTGTCGCATGCCGGGGATGTACTATTTTTCTAAATTATTGTAAATTTAAAATAAACGTTCTTAAGTCTTATAAATAACTGTTGTGGGTTGAGGATGTCTGTATAAAACAAACGAAACAGATATTTTCATAAGAAAAGCAAATAAAATTTATTAAGCAAATCAAATATTTCTTTTTAATAATTAAATACTAGTCTAGGTTTTTGCAAGATTAGCTCTCGAAGTGCATTAGCTGACTTCGGTTTAATGATTGGTCTATAGTTAACTAATTGGCGAGCTTTTGGACTGAGAATTTTTTTCATCAGATATAGTCATTTTCCTGTTCCAAATGAATTAGAATTTTCTTAGATATTTTATTTCTTTAGGAAAACTTTTTCTACCAACCCTCTTACAGAAAAGTGATAATCTACAACTTCGGGTTTATATATGAAAAATCATTAAGGATAGTAACTCAAAATAATATTATGGGCTGTTTGGTTCATGCTAGGAAATGAAAATGAAAATGACAGAGAATGAAAATAGGAATAAATTTTCATTCCCCAAGTTTAATCTGGAAATGAAAATTTGGGTTTATAGAAAAACGAACTCATTATATTATACTAGAAGGATACTCGCATAATTCAACGATATACATTTCGATTTAATATTTTGTATTATTCTTTTTCTCTGTCAATATAATACGATTTTATATGGTTTTGACAAAGCAATAATATTTTTATTTTTGAATAAAATATAAATCTAAAGACATCATGAAACTTTGAAAAAAAATATTGATTTTAGTATCAAATTAACTATCTAAAAATTCTCCTTTTTTTCTATAGTTTTTTAATTCAATTGTTTTATATAATTCAATTTATATTTAATAATAAAGTAATTTAATTTTGATCTAATAATATAATTCTTTATAAAGATAATAATCAACTATTCTATTAGAAGTCAATTATTAGCCTAATTAAATTTTAGAGTTTTTTATATTTAAAATTATATGTATATCTTGTATTTGATTATGTGTACCTACAGTTAGTTACACGAATTTAAAAATTGAGCTTTAATAAGTTATACTTATGTACAATTTATCTGTAATCTTGAATTTTAAATAATATGCATTAAATAACCGTATTTCATGCATAAAAATTGATTTTGAAGAGTTTTCATTAAACATTTTATAATATAGTATTGATAATACCGAACACCGCCTACATTCTTTTTGAAACAATTTACGGACCCCATAGTCAACCAAATTTAAGACTTTTTGATACATGTAAATGCTCACATGTGACTGCAAAATCAATAAGCAGTTGTTGTCTCGTGTTTTGACAGTTGACATGATATTAGACAGGGACAAGACTTGATATGACATGACATAATAGTGCAAAAATACATTTTACTTTCACTGGAACAAAAATCAGACGGATAAAACAAGATTGATAAATTAAAATCTTAACCCTTTTACATTTCTTTCACTCGTCTATCTTACTCTCGTTTGTTTAGTCCAGTCTTTTCCAATCTATTGAAATCTTGTTTGTATATCGAACGCACATTTACACCTTGTTTGTTTATAAAAAATAGTTCTTATCAGTCTTTTATGTCTGAATCAGTAATAGATAGAATCATTCAGACTGTTTATTTTTTTTTTCAAAATTTCAGAGGCACTTACGTCTTATCATTCTCTTATATGACAATCTTATTTGTCGATCACTGTTTTTCAGACCTCCAAACAATGGGTGTTTCTCAATCACTCATCTCTCAATTGATTAACCTTAAAATTGTATAAATGTATTTAAATTCAACCTACTACTTTGAAAGGTAAAATAAATAATTATACATATTCAAACATCTACCAGTTCACAAAAACAAACAGTTTTATTAATCCCGATTTCAAACTTCAGTCTCAGTTCTTATCAATTAGAAATGAAATAAGACTTCAAACTTTTATATCTTTTAACAAAAACAAATATTACCTTAGGGCTGTTTGTTTACCTCTTAATAGTTTCATTAAGAGGCAGTATCTGACTTGTGAAGAGGTACTTGTTTGACAAAAAAAGTATGTCTCTTAATGGTTTTAAAACCCTCTGAATAATTTGATATCTTGAGTCTCTTTTAACCATTTTTAACGTCTTAATTTTATTGTAAACAATTAACAATATATCAATTATTTATCTTCCTATAATTGATAACAAACATAAAAAATTATTCATAAACACCGAAACTAATCCCAAAAGGTAAGCCGAAATTTTTTGTAACCGAATTAACGGTAAAATTCACATGTCGATTTGTCAAGGAAGCCGCCGTATCCGTTGCCGCCTTTAACGGCTTCCCCCCACGTTCACATTGTCACATTCATCATGATTATGTCCCTTTTAAAGTAAATTACAATTTTGGTCCTTGTGGTATGTTGAAACTTTTATTTTTGTCCATAAACCTAATTTATTATACAGATGGTTCCTATGATTTAAAATTTGTTTTGATTTTGGTACCTTTAACTGATGGCCGTTAGTAGAAGCCCGTTAAATTCCCTCACAAGAGGGCATTTTGGACTTTTCATTTTATGTTTTTCTTATTTTAATTAAATTAATTTTGTAAGTACATATACTTAAACCATGCGTACAACCCATTAATGCACCCCAACCTTATCCTTCACCGTTCTCGTAGTAAGGACTTTTTGGATTTTTTTTTATGTTTGATTAAATTAATTTTTAATATACATATAATTAAAGCATATCATATGTACAACCCATTAATGCACCCATCGTTATTCCTCTTCTACCCCTTACCATTCCAATTAATGAAAAACTGAGGAAATTATGGTAATCATTCATCTAGATGGTATGATACATGTATACAAGTAATTGAAGCCGTTTTTGGGTTTTTATGCAGGTGTACATGCTATACACATGTACATTTTGAACAAATTACTTGTATGCATATGTGTGCATACCATCCAGATGAACGATGAACAGAATGTTGGGATAGATGCAGAAATAAAGAAAAGACCAAAATACATATGAGTTAACTGAGTTTTTAGTTAGTATCTATCAAACAACGACCATTGATGCAGTAAATGAAGTTTAGAGACAAAAAAATAATCCAAGCATAACACATGGACCAAAATTGTAATTTGCTCTTTTCTTTATTTTCCTGTTTTCAGAAACGACAACGTGATTTTCGTTTCATCTTAAATTGTTAAATAACTTTCTTTTTAATCCAAACTTAAGTTGGTTACGAAATGATTTGGTACAAAATGATTAAATGGTCAAAATAATTAACATTTTATGTAAAATTATATACTTTATTTAAAGAGTTATATAAATTTTAAACAGTTTTTTAGAAGGTATCTCAAGCTACACTCAGATAAATACGAACGAATTGCAACTGTAAGACATTAACCATGATAAATTTAATAGCCATAATTATTATAAACGTATGAAATTGAAAATTTTAAAGGTAAAAGCTTATTGCCATTATTTTTAGAAGCTAACTAAAATACTGATAATTCAATTTCCCTACTCTTCAATTTCTCAATTATAAACAATCTACAAATCAATATTTTCTTAAACCTGTTAAAAAATGTTGTGGACATCTGATTTATATATAATAAAGAAGCTGATTTAAAGTCGTAAATGTAAATACCATAGAGCTAAATAATTATACACATATAAAAGACGGGTTTTTTCAACTGATCATGTTAGAAAAATGATATCCCGTGACTATAATTGAATTATTAACGAAGATACGACTTGTATAAATTTAAAATTATATATATATATATATATATATAATGCAATAAGTCTAAATTGTAACATGGGCTAAAAGAATTATGTAGATTTCTTGAATCCAGAAGATTTGGAGTGTAGACTTGAAGAGAGACGTGCTTAACACCCTCCCAATGAAGAGAAAATTTAAAACAAAATAAAAACCATGTTAGGATTCAATTGCTTACCACTACGTTAAAAGTAATTGTTGATGGAGAAGGAATAACTTATTTTCTTGTAGTGTAACAGTCAGCGTCACGTTTCGATTTAGGAAGATGTTGGTCAATGACACAACGTTCAACCCCCCCAACATCTGTCAGCACTAACAAGATATGAAGACAATGGTTGCACAACATATCTTTGGCATCATTATGCACCTCATGGGATTTGAACCCGTGACCCGCTCGATACCACACATAGTTAGGATTCAAGCGCTCACCACTACGTCAATAACAAAAATCTGTTCATCCAGTAAGATAGATGACCCGGTAAACACTTTCTTTAGTAGACGAAATCGTAATATCTTAAAAGTTAGGGTCAACTCCACCGCCTTTTAAGATTAAGAAAATAACCAAAATGAAATATTAAAGTCTTGTTTGGTTGGTTTTTCATCAAGTTATATATAGTTAAAAATGTTTGTGTGGATTAATTTGTCTATATAGTGAGAAGATTTTTGTTTATAATGGTTTTTCCATAGATGGAAGAAACACACTTTTTAAGTGAGACATGCACGTTTAGACCCCCCCCCCCCCCGGCGACTTTCTGCATAAATTCCCTGAGAAACTTACTGAGTAAGTCATTTTTTTATATTATTAAACAATTACCAAACAATCATTTATAGCTGAGTTAAGATGAATAAGCTGTAAGTCTCGTAAAGCTCGTTAAGTTTCTAACAAACAAACCCTAAACCTAATTAAATAAAAATATAATATAATGATTAGACTTTAGAGGCACGGCACTAACTAACAGTAAACAGTATCAAGAACACCATCTGTGATCGCCTATAAAACCCCACTTCAATCTGATGACCAACAACCACCCCACCAACAAAATCCTAAATATCACAATGAAGATTTCCATAACTTTTGCCATTTTGGCAGTTTTGCTTCTGTGGCTACCGGAAAAAAGCGCCGGAAAAGTGAAGCAAATGCAACAACGCCGCCGTGGGTGGAGGTTTCTGGCCGGAGAGACTTTTTATCCTTCTTATCAAGACTCTATGCCCACTTCATTACAGGATAGGAAAACATCCACCATCTTTAACGTTTTAAACTTTGGCGCTAAAGGCGATGGAAGAACCGACGACACAAAGGTGATTTTACTGTAATAAAATCGGGTTTACACGATATCGAAAACGTCGTGTACTCCTAAGTTCATAAAACGGTTTTGAACGTCTTTTAACAGTGTTTTTTATTACACTTTTGAGAGCGTTCAAACGAGAACACCCCCAATCAAAGACAACGTAATAATACTTGTATCACATGTGAATATGTGATATTGTAGTGAATTGATCATATTCATATGTGATTAAGGTAAAACCAGGGTGTGTGACAACTTCGCCTGGGATGTAGGTTGCGACAAAGTGTTTTTGTGTTATCGTTTGAACCCATCTCATATTTCTTTTAAAAGATTTTTTTTTCTAGATAATGTCGTATAAAAAAGTTATCAGGACGCTTTACTTTCAATGTCGTCAGTAACTGGTTTGGACATCGAAAAGCGGTCTATCAACTTATTGTAACACTTTTATATAAATTTAAGTCTTGTGAATTTAAGTTCTATAAAACAGTTTATTAAGACATTTAAACATTTTTGACGTACAATAAACCGTTGTATTATTGATTCTTGTTACCAATTTTAGCTTTTTAAGATTTGACTGATTATATCTGTTGTAATCAAATAGGCATTTGAAGCAGCTTGGTTAGCTGCTTGTAAACTAGAAGCATCAACCATGGTTGTGCCGAAAGGTTCGGTTTTTCTGGTCAAACCCGTATCGTTTTCGGGACCCAATTGTGGATCGAACATCATTTTTCAGGTGAATTTTACTGTACCCGGTTTTACAAAACGCCAAATATGTTTGAATATCCTGATACAAATTTAACTGTTTTATAGGGTTTAAGTATATTATAATCGAACAATGGTGCCTTTTCTGTAAAAGTGCACTCTTATTTTAAGTTGATAGCACATTTTTGAACGTCCTAAATGTTAATCTTGCAGTTAGATGGCAAGATTATAGCTCCAACCGACTCGAGAAGTTGGGGCTCGGGTCTCTTGCAATGGCTTGAATTCACGAAGCTAAACGGGATAACGATCCGTGGAAATGGTGTTATCGATGGACAAGGCTCAGTCTGGTGGACCGATGCGCCAACAAGCACTAAACCAACAGTAAGACACTCAACCAAAAATCAGCTTAATCTATAGAACGTTAAATATGTCTACATTAATGTTTATAAATCAGTATATTACGATAGTTAGACATATTTAACGTTCTATAAAGTCGATTTTGTTATAACGAGAACAAAATAATGCCAACGTCGATACATACCCTTCGAATACGTGATGCTTGCTAGACTATAACTACATTACTAACGATATATATACGAATGCAGGCAATTAGGTTTTACGGAAGTTCTGATGTAACGGTGACGGGGATAACGATTCAAAACAGCCAACAAACTCACCTCAAATTCGATAATTGTCAATCTGTTCAGGTTTTTGATATTACAGTTTCATCTCCCGGTGACAGCCCGAATACCGACGGAATCCACTTACAAAACTCGCAAGACGTGACCATCCATAGCAGCAAACTTGCTTGCGGTATATTTCCATTAACCTTCGAGAATCCAAACACTACACCGAAATCGGTTTTATGGGGTGTCAAATATGTCTAAATCACTAAATGTCCTGATAGATTGTTTTATAAGATAACCAAACAATTATACGTCATATGTAAAACTGTTACAATAAGTTGATACGACACTTTTGGACGTTCTAACAGGTTTTTTAAAACATTTGAAATAAAACTAATACGACACTTTATTTCAAAAATGTTCTAAATAACTTGATAGGATACCCAAATACGTACAAACATCCTTTAATTATACTGTTTGCTCCTATAAACTTAAGTCATATAAAACAGTCTATTAGAACATTTAGACATATTTTGCTTATTATAAAGCCACTTTTGTTGTATTGAACACTTTAACCTTTGTTATAAAAGAAAGGGAGACATATATAATCATCGTCTTAATTCCATAGGAGACGATTGTGTTTCCATACAAACGGGATGCTCGGGGGTAGACATACAGAACGTCGATTGTGGACCTGGACACGGGATAAGCATCGGGAGCCTCGGGAAAGGTAACACGAAAGCGTGCGTTTCAAATATTACGGTTCGCGATACAAAGATCCACGACTCACTAAATGGAGTAAGAATAAAGACATGGCAGGTAAAAAAAATTATCTTATTGACAGCTATTGAATGGTTTGGTGCAGAATGTTTAGAGGCTGTTTAGCAGTTGTTGAATGATTTGATGCATAGTTTAAGACACCCTTAAAAAAAACTAATAGAACACTTACTTTTAGAAATATTCTAAAAAACTTAGTTAAACATCCTATAAACTTATTATAACACATTTATATATAGAAGACATCAAATTATGTGACTATTACAACAAAATTGAGTTTATAGGACGTCCCCAATCTTTAAGCATCCCAATAGACCGCTTTATATGACTTAATTAATAAGACCAAAATATAAAGCGTCATATCTAAAGGCGTTGTAATAAGTTTATATGACGATTTTTGGCGTCTTAACAAGTTTTTTAGTACATTTTTAATACAAAGCGTCAGATTAGCAACTTTATAAAACATATTTTAGAAAGTGTCATATAAAATCAATTTTTTATATGACACTTGTTTTTATAGGACAATTTTTCAAATAATGTCCTATAAAGTTGCTAATGAAACGTTTTATATTAAAAGTGTCATAAAAACTTATTAAGACGTCAAAATTCATCATATAAACTTATTACAACACCATTAGATATGACATGTTCTATAAACTAAGTCCTATAAAAAAATCTATTAGGACGCTTAGAAATTGAGAGCGTCCTATAAACCTGATTTTATTGTAGTTACTAGTTATCAGTTCCTCAATTTTTCCTATTTTTTACTGTTTTCCCCTGGACCTTGGCCATTGAACCTTGGCCATTTTGTTACTACGGTTCGGTTAACCAATTAAACGAATGGTTTTTGTAGGGTGGTTCAGGGTCAGTGCGAGGTGTGAGATTTGGCAACATTCAATTATCAAACGTGAAAACGGCAATCATGATCGATCAATACTATTGCGACGGCAGCAAATGCCGGAATATGACGTCAGCAGTGGCTGTTTCCGGCATATCTTATGAGAATATAAGAGGGACGTATTCTGTGAACCCTGTTCATTTTGCATGCAGTGATACGTCCCCATGCACAGATGTAACCCTAGACACCATACAGTTGCAGCCACTTGAAGAAAACAAGCCACCGTTTTGTTGGAATGCTTATGGCCAGTTGAAAACCACCACCACCCCTCCAATTCAGTGCTTGATGGTCGCTAAATCATCCAACAAACAGCGTCTAAATAACGATGATTCTTGCTAAACTTGATCATAAATATATATATATATAAGTGTGTGTGTGGATTTGGTATCACGTGAGACCGGTCTGTTTTCGTGAGACTACTTTTTTATACTTGAAACGTTACAGAAAAATGTTGTGAAGGTTCGGCTTTTTTTACCTTTACAATGTTTTGCTGTGAAGTTTCAAGTGTAAAAAAATGGTATTACGGATTTCACGAAAACATACTAGTTTCCCGTGAACCCAATCTTGTATGTATGAGTATATATATATATATATATATATAGAGAGAGAGAGAGAGAGAGAGAGAGAGAGAGAGAGAGATGTTTAATCATTTGAGAACCTCGTATATTTATTCTGATAACTATTATCATCGGTATTGTTTCACATGATGTTTCTCCATCTAGGACTAAAATTTAATATATTGTTTCATGTGTATTCGGTTCATAATGTGAAACTCTTTAGTCGTATTTTTGTTTTCATGGGGAACTTTAGTTCTTCTTATTATTTTTTTATTAGCCTGAATATCCAACTCGCTATGCGAGCCGACTAATCTCAGGACGACCACCTGCTTTGCGGGTAGCCCGGAGTCACTGCATTTAAAACTCCGTGGCCAGAAGGGTATTTTTATTTCTCATTGGATTTGAACTTGAGACCTCCAAACACTTTTGACCTTTGGAGCCCAAGCTCAAACCAATCAGACACCACCTTTGTGGTTGACTTTAATTATTTTGAGAACTCTTTGATTAAATCGTGAAATATTTGAGAACTATTTAATTGAATCGTGAGATATTTGAGAACAATGTTTCTCAAATAGACGTTGATCTATCGAATATGTATGAAATTTCCCGATTGATTGAAACCGAACAAAGAGGTTGTTCGTATGTGTTGTGTTAGAGTCAAAAAATAGTTAAACTTGAACTATTTCACTTAAAATATATGCCGGAACCAAAAAGGTTATAAACCATGAGGACCCGCTAAAAAAATTGCACAACTTTTTTCATCAAATATTAGAATTTAAGATATTGTTTCACATAAATATGTTTCATAATGTGGTAATTTCATATTCATTTGTTTCACATGGATTTTTTTACCATATGAATACAAACATATGTGAAACAATAACTAAAATCATAGTCTTTAACGAAAAACATCATATAAAAAATATTTTTATATCGGTTCTCGCGGATTTGTAAGCTTTTATGATTCTCGTTTGATTATCATTATATATATATATATATATATTCCCATATATTGGTTTCTTTTTTTTGGGGGGGGGGGGTCCATTATCACTATCAGAACTGTAGAACCACTGAACTTCTCTCAGTGATCCGTCGCTAATTCATTTCACCACCATTTGCCACAAAAAATCTAGCCGCTAATTCTAATCATCGGCTTTTTTCCGATGGCTTGAAAATCAATTTTTTTGAGAATATAAATTACAAATTCAAAAAAAAATGTTCGGTTTCAAATCCAACCAACTAATCATGGTAAACCCGTTATAAATTACAAATCATAACACATCTATTTTTTCCAGATCCTTTTTTACATCAAAACAATAATCACGGTGTAATTTACGATACATGATGATCACTAATTCACTATGACCAAGTAAGTCAAAAGTAATGGAAAAATGAACACATGAGTTGATTTTCCACGATCGATAGTCAATTATTAGTTCACATTCATAACTACAGTTGTGACGACAAATTATTGAACATACAATCTATGTCTTATTTCTCACACCGTAAAGATCGATGCTCCACAAAAAGGATTTTGTAACATAAAAGTCTTCGCAAATGGATCATAAAATCACACGATTATTGAACGTAAATATAAGTTCATAAATTTCACATCCCGAAGTTGTAGCTTCACAATGCTCCCAATCAGGGACAAAGACCAGAATTAAAATCAAGGTGGTCCAAAGGGTCGAAGGCGTGCCAATTTAGATTGGGCTAAGTCCGCTAGGACGAGTGTGATTCGATTGAAAATCGAGCCATTTTGGGCTGTATGGTTGTTTGAAAACATTGAGCGTTGGCCGAAGCTGATATTGGGCCATAGTCGGTCTGCTTACAGTTCTCTAGATACTTATCAACCCAGACAAAAGATTATGTCAGAAGAAGAGTTAAAGTGAGAAGCGTAAGAAGATATCTGCGATTGATCTGGTGCATCTCGATGCATCTCATGCTAATGTGCATTAAAATATGAAGATTCATTCTTACGTTTCTCATCAAAACTCAACCCTATCAACCGATATGTAAATATTTCTTCATCCTCGTTAACAATTATTTTAAACATTTTTATTAAATTATATTTCAAGTTAAACTTTTTATATATATTTTTTTTGGAAGGAAGCAAAAAGAATCACAAATTTAGTTGTAAAAACACAATACGGGGTTTGAAGTGATAATATTTTTAGATTAGGGTTTATCTTGTAAATGTGAACAAACTTTAGGGTTTATTCTGTAACCTTTCTCATTGTGAATGAAACCAGAAAACCAGTAGAAATCTATAAAAAAATAAAAGCGGTAGGGATTTAATTTAGGTAAATTATCTAAAATGATGATTTTATATATAGTATATTAATAAAATAATTATTTTTATGTATAGATTTGGTATCATGTGTGACCAGCCTGATTTTTTAAGACCATTTTTTTTATACTTGAAGTTTCACAGTAAAATGCTGTAAAGATAACTTTCACAATATTTTAGCTGTAAAGGTTTTTTTTTTTTTTTTTACCTTCACAATGTTTTATATGGATTTATCAAACTGAGATGTTTGATTATTTGTCCACATTGAACAAGACAAAGGGTTATTAAATAACATCATCATCTTCACAATATCAACAATAATTAGTGGTTTCTTTTTATAATATTGTATTAATAAAATGATTAAAATAATTAATCCATTAAACAATTAATTATTTATAAAGAAATATTTTTGTTTTATTTTAATAAATAAGGTTAATTCTTTGTTACAAATCATTTTAAATTTTTTATCTGATTTTTATTGTGTTTATAGTGAATTTAAACGTTATGATTTTAATCGATCAAAAATCAGATATTTATATTTAACATAAAACTCCTTAGAATTTAGTCAAACATATAAATTTTAAACTTTATTTTAGTTTATTGGTGTTATAGCTTAAACAAAAGATCATGGATTTAACCATAAGGGTGGTATCTGATTGGTTTGACCTTGGGCTTTAAAAGTCAAAAGTGTCTGGAGGTCCCAAGTTCAAATCTGAAGATGAATAAAAATCCATTTGTGACTACGAAGGTTCAAATGAGGTGACTTTGGAGAATCCGTAAAACAGGTGATCGTTTTAAGACTAGTCAGCTCATATAACGAGTTGCATATTCAGATTAATTTTAAAAAAATCATGGATTTGTTGTGGCAAAAATTTCTTTTGTTTCTCTTTTTATTTTGCTTTTGGGTTTTGTATGGATAAGAAGTTGCACAAACCTAACCTAACATGCATTGTTGTCTTCATGCAAATCAAATTGAACCCCAAAGAATTTATTAATATTTTTAAGTTGTTTTGTATTATATATATATACTAGAAGCGTACTCGCGCAATGCAGCGAGATACATCGTGTTTTTAATATTTCATTTTATTCTTTTATCTCAGTCGATGTTATAATATGACTTTATGTAATTTTGAGAAAGCGATGATGTTTTTATTTTTGAATAAAATATATGTTTGACGATATCATAAAAATTTGACAACAATATATCGATATTAGTATCAAATTAACTATTT